TCTTGGCTGTATAGTAACTTCTACCCGTGATCAAAAATAGGCATTGAGTTAGCCTTTTGAAACAGGAAACGATAACGTGACTAGTTTGATCTAACTGGAAATTCCAAAAATTATTGTTATTCTTCGCTTACAAAACGTTTCTTAATTATGCTTTTTTTTTAGCGTTTTCAGACCATGGAAATGACGTGTTGATGTTTTCCTCTATCTCTTGCGTGCGATTTTGCGATTTTTTTGGTCCTTAATTCCTGAGGAATTTTATAATGACACACCACCACATCGCTGCATGGTGATGTTTTTACACTAGCACAAACGCCGCGAGAAACTCGCCATTTCTAATTCACGGAACCTACGAAACCTTAAACAAAGCAAAGAAAAGATACATACTATGCACCTGAATATAAAGTGAATCCTTTCCGGGGTATGCATTTATTCTTCTTTACACAATATTCAAATTATCACTGTTTTAAGCGGTTAGTCGATTAGATAACATCGGGTGAAGCCAGATTAGACACCTTATGAGGTTTACACAACGCATTGTCTTCTTAACTTTAACCACTTACCTTGAAAATTTGCTGAAAAACGCAAAGCAGCGGAGCGCCAGTTATGGAGAGGACATACTGAGAGAGTTAAGTACTGATACTCAGTGATTAGGGTTGACTGAACTGAAAAAGGTTAGCTTTCGAAGATCGTGATGGCCGGGGTACGGCATGAGTATTGTATTGTATTGTATTTATTTATTTGCCACACGATTACAATTACAACAAGATGCCAAAAAAAAAAAATGTAGGAAGAAATGGCGAGGAGGCCTAAAGGAAACTATAAACCTTATGTTAACTAGGCCTCCTCGATTACAATTTTTCGAAGATGGCATAAAAATTACGACGACGGATACAAAATAATACCAGGTGGAAAATTAAACTAATCAATATTACGGAAGTTTACAAATGTTGAATATTAAAAAGCTTTTTCCCAAGATTTTTGTTGGAGTATACTAATAATTATTACAAATAAATGCCTTAAGTGCTCTTTTAAAGGAAAAAAGGGAGGAAGCGTTGATGATGTTGGTGTTTAAGGTGTTGTAAAATATAGGTCCTTGATAAAAAACGGAAAATTGTTGGGTTCGAGTTCGACAGAAAGGCAGACGAAATTTACACGAGTTTCTTGTATTATATGAACGAATTTGACTTTGTAAAGTAAATTTACAATGAAATTTTAAAGGTAGAGTATGGTTTTGACTGGAGTACATGAATAAGCCTAGTTGTATTAAGTATATATCATGAAATTTTGAGATACCAAGATTGTGAAAGATTGGATCAGTATGTGCATCGAAAGTGGTTTTAGCTATAGTTCTGATCACTAGTTTCTGTAAAATCTCAAGACGAATAAGGTTAGTTCTGTAAGTAGAGGCCCAAACTAAGTTGCAGTAAAAAAAGTATGGATAGACTATAGAAAAATATAGTGTTCGTAAGGTTTTCGTAGATAAATAGAAACTGGATTTACGAATAATTCCTGTGCATTTAGAAACTTTATTGGCGACATGTGAGATTTCAGATTTCCAATTTAAATTTTCATCCATGATTACTCCCAAGAAAACTGTTTCTTTTACCTGATCAATTTTTTGGCTGTTAATTAAAAGTTGAACAGTTTGATTTGTACGCTTTTGGCATGGTTTAAATACAATGAATTTGTTTTTTTCAAGTTTAATGAAAGCCTGTAAGCTCTAAACCATATTGACAACTAATATTTAGCTCAGCGTTCAGTATATTAGTCAGGCAGTCTTATCCTTGTGAGACACAAATACGTTTGTATCATCGGCAAATAATATCAATTGTAATATTGTTGACGTGTTGATTATATCGTTGATGTAGAGCAGAAAAACAAAGGCCCTAGTATTGAACCTTGGGGAACGACACACATGATATTAGCACGAGGCGAAACATAACCATTGTATTCTACAAATTGAAGTCTGTTGGAAAAATAGCTCTTAATCCATTTCAGAACCAAGCCACGTATACCATAGTGTTAAAGTTTATCAAATAAGATGGAATGATTGACTGTATCGAAAGCTTTCGAGAGATCTAAAAAGACACCAACCGCTAATTCACCACGATCAATAGCAGATGAAATTTTTTCATGCAAATCAATCAAGGCCGGCAAGCGTCGTAGAGTGGTTTTTCCTGAAGCCGAACTGGTTATCACAGAGAATATGTAAATTAGTTAAATAATCATACAAGCGATTATAGATGATTCTCTCTAGAAATTTTAAAAGCTTGGTAGAACCGAGACAGGCCTATAGTTGGTGAATAGTGACTGGTCATCAGCTTTAAACAGTGGTACCACACGAGTTATTTTCATTTGATCTGGTACAACGCCATGAGCGATCGATAAATTCATAATGTGAGCCAGAGGTCCCGAAATGATTTAAATGGATTCCTTAATTATAAACATGGAATATTGTCGTATCCAGCCGCTTTCCCGGAAGCAAAAGATTTAGCAATGGTAAAAATTTCATCCTCTTTTGTTGGGCTAAAAATTACCGGCTGAATTTGGCGGCTAGTCCGCCTCAATGGTGTAGGCTCGAGTTCAAAGCATCCCAGTTTTGTTTATCTATCTTATTCCGAGCGTAGTGAGTTTATAATCTCGTTGCGCGCGAAGCGCGCTCGCTTTGCGTGGACCGCGCGTGGATCATAGCGAGCTTCAAACTCGCAGAGTCTATACTTGCAGAAAAGATGTTTCCGGAGCGCAAGTTCTCTTCTGCTTAGATATGTAGGCTCCTGATAAAAGATGTTTCCACGAGTGACTTCAAAGATTTCTTTTTACTATTAGAAATTTAAACCATCTTAGACATTTTAGAACTGTTTTTTTTTTCGAACTGTGGTTAATGGTGGGTTCAATTGGCTTCGTGCGAACGGGCTTCCATTATCTTATTTAATTGGTATTATACAATGCGCGTCTCAAAGCTGGTTGTTTCTTGGCTGAGTGGTTAAGGTCGCAACTTGCGCGAAGCTTTTTGCTCGCGAAAGAGTACGTGCTTCAAATCGAACAATGGACTTTTTTTATTTCTTCATCTGCTTAACCACAAAAATACATCATTTGTTTTTTTTTTAAAGGGCCATAATATACGATGGATAGGATGTATACAACATGGAACTATGCAAACGCAGTCTCCAACAGCATTTTAAGTCAATTCATACATTAAGTATCTCAGTATAGAAAGACTAGTCTCAAGTCGCAGAGGTGCGAAGGGACGCAGAATCGGATGGGACGATAAAAAGTCGTAAGAAGACAGTGAGCGGTACACTTCATCCGATTTCTGATTTACAGTGAACGCTTTGTTTGACTCAGATTCTACATTCTTACACCATGCGGGAGTCTATTTGTGTGTGGACAATACTCACCCTGGGGGCAGAGCCTCCCTTAATTTTCTCTAGTACACCAAAATAGATCAAGGGGGGGCGAGGGAACACGCGAGGGGAGAGGGAGAGGGTGGATGTGTTTACTCCAGATCCCAACATTTGTAACCAGCCCGAATTCACCCTCTACGAGTTTGTCTGACATCAGTCTCATCTCTCTGATGAGTAGTGGTCACTCTGTTCGTTAAGTTAAGGGCGAACTGAATTGCAACACGGACTACACTGCTTGCAGAAAAAGTATACACTTTTCTCTTAGAACCTCTCTCTTGTCGGGATTCCAAAATGCATTTGAACTATACTTCCTATGGCCGACGCAGTATATCCTTTCCAAAATTAATGATGACCGTTGTCAAAACTAGTGACCATTTTTGTAAGAAGGAAGGGAGCCTTTAAAAGAGTGTGAAAGTTGACAATGAGTGGCATTCATTTGTATCTCCAACTATATTTTTTGAAAAATCAAGTTCCCTGGCCTGATGTTAGTTTGAAAAATTACTTTCTTCGATATGCAAACCAAAACGAATCAGGGACATTAGGCAAGGTCTTAAACAGGGTGGCGAATTGAGAAACATTTTTCTTCAACGGCACACCTCTACCCAAACTTCCCTTGAGTTCCCCCGGGCCCAGCATATGTTTCTCTGCAGCCAATTGTTCGTTTCCAATGACCTACCAGAGTACAGTTATAAGGCTGTCAATAATAAATTATTAATTTCTTTGTTTGTTTTTTACGAGATATCGGAGACATAAGTTACAAATTAAATAAATATAATAATATCAGGGTTTAGTTGGTTATCAACTTATATTGTATCAGTAAAATTCAAGGGTGGTCATTGATCATATGGCCCAGTATTAAGTGGCGACGCAAAAACTAAGTCGTTGGTGTAATCAAAACGAAGAAAGAATCACGTGAATTCAATAAAGGAAATATTTGCTGGCAAATAGAATTTTTATGTTCTCTCATAGTGCTCTCTATCAGTTGTTTAGTACTTTGCTGTATGCATAACCACTTCTATGTTCATACCAAGGGGTAAGCAATTCGGCAATTAGTAGTACCCCCCTTCCTTGTGATGTCACATGCACCTGATTAGACTGACGCGTCCATTCACCTCTGCTACTCTTCGAGGCAACAAGACTTTTGTCACCCCACCTCCTCCTCCTCTCCTTGCGCTTTTCTCCAAGTTGTTATGCATAATTTTTGGTGACGTTGGCGTTCTGTAGCCCCCACCTTTACTGGGGCCAATTATGCATCAGCTTTATTGTATTTTGCGAATATACGATTTTATCTTATGATGACTTCATTAAAGCGGCTATGGGCAGCTACCCATAGCCAATTTAGTCCATCCGGTGTTGTGTTTCTTTCAAAGGGGCCCCGTAAACGAGCTTCAGGAAAAGCGGCCTAGCCTTCTGTAGATGGGATTATATTTTTCGCACATGGGAAAACATAAACGACATTTAAAAACACAAACAGCCAAGAAGAAGTTTTCCTACATTTTCTTTATTCAGGCCCCAGCAACGGTGCAGTGCATAAGGAGCCCTGTATAAGGAGGAGAATCAAATCTTACAACAGGAACAACAGTCCCAAAAGCATTCATGGAGAGAGGTCTAGAGGAAGGTGACGTATCATCACCTGCTGATTCAGAAGCACTCCAATTTGATGATGACACTTTACGAGGTGAGGAGAGAAATGCTCTTTTTTTAATTTCATAATACATTGTCAAGAAGAGAAAAAATTTGCATTCCGTTACACAGAAGATCTCTACCTATTCACAGATACATTTTGCCAAAGTGTGAGACCTAATATAATTGTTACAAGGGAAAACCCTGGTCAGGGGTCAGAGACCAACATGCAGCAAATATATTCTCGTTTTTAGAAGGAAAGTTTTAAAAAATTACTTATTTATAATTTGCTGCGTTATAGCAATTGCAGAGGTTTACAAAAATGAAGGTAACGATGAGTACAACAAGAAGAATTTCCACAACGCCATTAACTACTACACAGACGGAATTAAAGTAAACTGCAAGGATAAAGAACTGAACGCCAATCTGTACAGTAACAGGGCAGCAGCATATTTTAATGTGGGTGAGTAGTTGCTATTATAGTTTAGTCAAGAAATGTATAATGTTTTAATAAGACTTTTATGCTCCATGTTCCTTTAGATAGTATTATTGAGTCAGTTATTGCTGTTGGTGGAGTCTTGCTTTGGGTGAGCTCTGTTTGCTGGGATACCCAATAATGACAATTCCAGTTTGGGATAAAATTTGGCCTCAAGAGTGGCCGTTTATTTCATTTAAGCATATCAAGCTAGGAAAGTCCAGATACACAAGAAGATTTATCCCAGCAAAGGTGAGGGCACACCCGCCACAGCCCGGAGCAAGAAACGAGTGACAGGGCAGCCCCACCCGAGGCCAAAGCAAGAGAACCACCAACAAAAACCTTAGTAATCTAGAAGCAAAATGTACAAGTGTAGCTATAAAAATGGATCAATTATGTCATAGGAAAGGTGCAAGGTTAAATGAATGAGATTGCTTAATTGCCCCTACTGGATTACTATTTATCACCAGGTCCCTATTGCCAGACCTATGGGTTGTTCACTCAGATTGAGATAATCCAGGATTAGCACTAAATTGACTTGACACCTGCACGTTAACCACTTAAGGCTAATACCACAGTGTTAATACTATTTGCCCATAATTAATCAAAAATAGACGTTCTTAAACAACTAATAATAAGAAAATTGAGAAAATTGAAAATAATTTTGAAGGAAGGAAAAAGGAATCCAGATTAAATTTAAACCTTGTATCATCAAACATAATTGTCCTATACCGGTACTTAAATAGCTCACTGATGTAACTGATTAAAGTGAAATCCATGAGATGGCTGTATGGCCCCTGCACACACAGTCACACAGAATTATACCTATCAATACTCTGAAATAGCTCACTGATGTAACTGATTAAAGTGAAATCTGTGGGATGGCTGTATGGCCCCTGCACACACAGTCACACAGAATTATACTTATCAATCGTCTGAAATAGCCTACTGATGTAACTGATTAAAGTGAAAATCTGTGGGATGGCTGTATGGCCCCTGCAGACACAGTCACACAGAATTATACTTATCAATAGTCTGAAATAGCTCACTGATGTAACTGATTAAAGTGAAAATCTGTGGAATGGCTGTGTGGCCCCTGCACACACAGTCACACCGAATTATACACTTATCAAAAGTCTGAAATAGCTCAAAGATGTAAGTGATTAAAATGAAATCTGTGAGATGGCTGTATGGCCCTTGCACACACAGTCACTCAGAATTATACTTATCAAAAGTCTGAAATAGCTCACTGCTGTACAGTAACTGACTAAAGTGAAATCCGTGTGATGGCTGTATGGCCCTTGCACACATGCACAGTCACACATAATTATTATACTTATTGAAAGTCTGAAATAGTTCACTCCTGTAAGTGATTAAAAAGAAATCTGTGGGATGGCTGTATGGCCCTTGTACACACAGTCACACAGAATTATTCTTATTGAAGTCTGAAATAGCTCACTGATATAAAATAACTGATTAAAATGAAATCTGTTGGATGGCTGTATGGCCCTTGCACACACAGTCGCACACAATTATTCTTATCAAAAGCCTAAAATATGTAGCTCACTGATGTACAGTAACTGATTAAAATGAACATGATCTGTGAGATGGCTGTATGGCCCCTGCTCACACAGTCACCCTGAATTATACTAATAACAATTCTGAAATAACTTGCTGATGTAACTGGTAAAAATAAAAATCTGTGAGATGGCTGTATGGCCCCTGCTCACACAGTCATCTTGAAAGTGTAGAGTTATTGCCCAAGCCGAAATCGCCTAGGAAACTAACAGCTAAATTAAGTGAATAATTTTATTTAATAAGATGGGCCGGATGGCCTTGACTCATGCAGTGAGAATTCTATGTATGACCATGTCGCTGTCCATCTGTCTGCATTGTGTACCGGTAAATGCAAGTACCATATGGCGTACTATATACTTGAGCAGGAATTATGTGATGTAGCCCAGAGATGACAAGCAAGATAACACAAACCAAACAGTTCACACCCAACCACAGTTTATCAATATCCAGCATTAAGCCAAGGTTGCCTGTGCTGCCTAATTAGCTGTCGATGCCACATACTGAGGGAAGCAGCAGCTGGTCTTGCATAGCCATGCACTATTAAATGCAACTCCTGGAGAACTGATCAGCAGAACATGTACAACGTAACTACATGTATGTTGAATTGAATTGACGACCCACAGAGGATGCAGAGCTACAGGTGTTCACTCTCTCAAGAGAGTACTCTGCCCAAGACCACTTCATTGAAAACATGTCCGTGAAAGTGATGAATTGCCTGCATATACCCTAGCACCTGCAATAAAATGAAAAACTATAAAAACGAACTTTTGTAAACAGGCTAGAATGTGCTGCCATTGATAAACAACGCATAAACCATCAATGAATCCATTAGGATCCCCAAAACGAGCTGATTCAACGGTAAATTCCTCAAAAAGAACAACAAAGTTAAAAGTAATGAAGTGATGTGGTGAGGGAAGCATAAGCCTTTTGTCCCCTCACAACAAACATGGGACTATAACCAGAGATAAAATTAATCTAGCTGCATGTACCTGTAAACTAAAATAGTGGATTACACAATTAAAGAATAAAAAGTTGGCATAAAAGGTAAAAAAAATGAGAATGGTAAATTCAAACCAAATAATATTTGCATCAGGTTCCCTAGACACAAATACAAATGGAACTGAATCACACACATATCCTGCAAACAAATCAAATATGCAGTACAAACAAGAGCAACGTGTGTCTACAACAATGAGGACCAAAGCCTCAAACTGAGGAACATAGCCTCAATAATATTACCGGTACATAACAATGATGAGGAGGAAGCCTTGAGCTAAAATCCAAGGACAAAGTTTCAAAATAACCTATGAGGACAAAGCCTCAACATAAATTGTGAAGACAAAGCCCCAATATAAAATAGGAGGATGAAGCCTCATTGTAAAATATGAGGATACTGAGCTTCAAGAAAAATCAGAGGATGAAGCTTTAAAATAGAATAATTTATGAGGAGGACGTTACAATTATTATAAACCTGCAAAGAAATAAATAGTATTGCAGTGCCCCAAACATTGATCACCCCTGAGGGAAGGAATATAACAGAGGCTCTAACAGTTAGCACCATAAAAAGGGGGTGGCTGATGCTCACATAACAAGTAACAACACCACCGTGGTGAACAGTTAGCACCATTCTAAACAGGGTGGCTCAAACAGTTAACACCCGAATAAGACTAATAGCATGATGGCTTGAACAGTTAGCACCATAGAAAATAGGGTGGCCCAAACAGGTAACATCCGTGAAAGAACTAACCATAATGGTGGCTTGAACAGTAGCATCATAGACAATATGGTGGCTCAAACCGTTAACACCCGTGAAAAAGCTAAGAACATGGTGGCTTGAACAGTTAGCACCATAGAAAATACTGGGTGGCTGAAACAGTTAACACCCGCAAAAAAGCTAAGAACATGGTGGCTTGAACAGTTAGCACCATAGAAAATACTGGGTGAACAGTAGCATCATAGACAATAGGGTGGCTCAAGCAGTTAACACCCGCAAAAAAGCTAAGAACATGGTGGCTTGAACAGTTAGCACCATAGAAAATACTGGGTTGCTCAAACAGTTAACACCCGCAAAAAAGCTAAGAACGTGGTGGCTTGAACATTTAGCACCATAGAAAATACTGGGTGGCTCAAACAGTTAACACGCGCAAAAAAGCTAAGAACATGGTGGCTTGAACAGTTAGCACCATAAAAAATGCAGGGTGGCTCAAACAGTCAACACCTGCAAAAAAGCTATCAACATGGTGGCTTGAACAGTTAGCTCCATAGAAAATACTGGGTGGCTCAAACAGTTAACACCCGTGAAAAAACTAAGAACATGGTGGCTTGAACAGTTAGCACCATAGAAAATACTGGGTTGCTCAAACAGTTAACACCCGCAAAAAAGCTAAGAACATGGTGGCTTGAACATTTAGCACCATAGAAAATACTGGGTGGCTCAAACAGTTAACACGCGCAAAAAAGCTAAGAACATGGTGGCTTGAACAGTTAGCACCATAGAAAAGACTTGGGTGGCTCAAACAGTTAACACCCGCAAAAAAGCTAAGAACATGGTGGCTTGAACAGTTAGCACCATAGAAAATACGGGGTGGCTCAAACAGTTAACAACCGCAAACAAGCTAAGAACATGGTGGCTTGAACAGTTAGCACCATAGAAAATACGGGGTGACTCAAACAGTAGCTTGCGTAGCAAGCGTTTCCAATCGAGTTATTGCGCGAAAGTTAGAGCGGAAGCGAAAAAAAGCCTGTCCCAGCTTTCTAGACAAACCTCGCAAGGAAACGCTTGCTACGCAGGCTACTCAAACAGTTAACACCTATGAAAGAACTAAAAATCATGGTGGCTTGAACAGTAGCACCATAGACAATAGGGTGGCTCATGATCAAACCGTTAGCACCTGCCTGTGAAAAAGCTAACAACATGGTGGCTTGAATAGTTGGCACCATAGAAAATAGGGTGGCTCCAAGAGTTAACACCCGTGAAGAACTACTCCAGTGGAGGAACAAATCCTCACAATGAAAAACACTGGCAACAGAATGTCGCCGACAGTGAGTAAAGGAAAACAACAGAACATGACGATACACCACGTAACATGACATACAAAACCGACCTCTGAACAGCACACAAGAACCCTAATGAAATTATGCTCATACCTCTGTCAGATATCTTTTAATAATGGTTGCAATGCCGGTAATTTCTAAAACCTTGTAAATGCATTGAGGGAATGGAACATAAAGTTTTAGCTGGTAGGGTTGGATAATGTATCGGTTTTTTTTGTTTTGTTTTGTTTTGTTTTTTTGGTTTTCTGATAATAATTAAAGGTTACAAGTAAGCTCACTCAGAGTCCAAAGGTCAAAAATGCTCAAACGTGCAAAATTGTAACTTCAGAATATCAATAAAATAAAGTGCCTTTACAAATCATAACACAGCTAAGATTATGAATAAAGGGATTCATTACTGAGCTGGTGTAAACAAATATTTCAAATTAAATATCGATCGAGTGATATTTTGCGCTAGTTGGCACTAGCGATACAACTAGCTGAAGTAGCAACACGAGGTACAACGAAGTATGAACAACGAACAGAATAGCATACACGCCAGTGTAACTACCAACATTTAACTGGCCGATTGAATGAAGAATTCGATTTTATATTAGCATAAACGACCGTAACGTGTATCAATTCCCGCAATCAACAAGACGATCGTGTGCACGCACATCATCTCAGATTAGACTACGAGTAGTCCCCCATTTTTCCTCAGGGATAGTAGAGCGAGCGAAACGCGAAACGCGAGCGCCCGTGAAAATCACCCCACGCGAGAAAAGGCGACACGCGGCGGGGAGAGAGATAGGGTTAAGAATCCCAACTGGCCGGAGGCAAACCACCTGGCTATTTACAAGCATGGCAGCACAGGTAGCCCAAGCTCGAAATATGAGCATCGGCGAGCATCGGCATTGTTGCGTAACATTCGAAATATAAGGATTTGTATGGGGGAAAAAAACCTATCGTTTCTGTAACCTACGAAAGTGAAGGATTTCAATAAAAAACAGCTTACCTTACTTAAAATGTGTGTTGAGTCTCTCCTATGTGGTCCACGGGCCGATTTATGGCCGTTTTATGGGTTTTTATGTAGAGAGAAAACCGTTTACATAAAAACCCATAAAACGGCCATAAATCGGCCCGTGGACCACACAGGAGAAACGTAACACATATTTTAAGTAAGGTAAGCTGTTTTTTATTGAAATCCTTTCATTTTCGTAGGTTGCAGAAACGATAGGGTTTTTTTCCCATACAAATCCTTATATTTTGAATGTTACGAAACAATGCCGATGTTCGCCGATGCTCGTATTTCGAACTTAGGCTACCTGTGATCAGGTGATGGCAGAGGATTTGAACTCGGGACTACCGAGAACAAATCCCGAGCTAGCGGTCGGGGCGGGACTTGAACTCGGGGCCTCCAAATTGCAAGTCCAGCGCTCTAACCGCTCGGCAACGCTGCCTGAAAGAGCGGATCTAAAGTTACTATTGCTGCTCACTCTTTATGCAGGAGGCGCAAGCGTGGCCGATTCAGGCGCTACGCTTACCGTGTTCAAATCCTAGACCACAATTGTAAATAGCCAACTGGTTTGCATCCGGCCAGATGGCATCCTGAACCCTAATATGATTTATCTGAATTGTTCGCTTTGCCCCACAAGCTTTCCCACTACATAATAACGAAGGTGAATAAGGGAATCGAATAACGATGCAAACTATGTTTATGGTAAGCTGCTTTAGGGGGCAGACTACGTTCAACTGCTGCTTGGCATATTTGACTATAGTAACCGTTCAATATTCGAACTGGACCTGATATGCGGCCAATCCCACAATTGTTTCGGCTCCAGAAAAATTTGGAAGGAGCCACCACAATGCGAGCAGAATTACTGACACGGCAGACTGCTAAGGAAAACAACATAAAATAAATGTAATCCGTTATACCCAGTAAAACGATGGGAACGTGTCAATTAAACAGCCTTTCTTGTGTGTAATTGTTTGTCTGCGTTTATTCTTTTGTAGGGATCTACACTGAAACACTGAATGATGCAAAAATTGCCATCAACTTGCAACCATATTTTTCAAAAGCATTTGTCCAAGGTAAATAAACTCAAAGATCCATCGCTAGTGTTTCTATCCAGACCACGATTATTGATTTGGTTATCGCTATCAAACTCTTCAACGCAGACAGGCTGGAAGAAAACTCCCCTCTGATACTGTTATCGACCTTGGGGTTGTTAATAATGTCCTTATCTTCCTTGTTCGCAAATTTGGTGCTCTCATAGCAGCGTTAATTAAGCCGTTTGGCTTAAAGTTGGTAGTGTTGATAATATAGTATAGTATTCACTATAGAGATGGACCTTTAGAAAATTAATAGGGAATGGAGAATTGTCAAACCGGATGAATTTTTCTTTGTAAGGCAATAACTCTTGCGGCAATTATCATCTCTTGACGTCAAAAACATCTACGCTTCTATTGCGTTGAGACAACTTCAAGTCAGTGTCAGGGTTGGTGAATGATAATGAGAAAATTTGTAGAAGTACGCACTAAATCAATTAATCCTCTGACCTTGTTTTTATGAGGGTGTGTGACTTGTGATCACTTGTCTTTTGCATGTAGGTGGTAAACGTCTCTCTTGATCCTAAAATATTGTTCTTTAGGTAGCAGAACGGCTTTTGCGTGTGGCAATTTTTAGTTGCTTTTGTAGCTCAAATTGGTTAAAGCTGAATTGTAATTAAAACAGAGCTTTTTTTGTTTTCAGGTGCAAGTGCCTGCGTTCAGCTGAGACATTTTAACGAAGCCATCACTTGGTGTGATAAAGGATTAACAGTATCCTTTTCTGTAGGTAATACTGAGAGATGTCCAGTAATGAAATTGAATTTCATTATATTCCATTCATCCATTAGACAGATTCCATTTATTTCGATTCTATGTAATACGATTTTACAAGGCTTACATTCTGCCCCATCTGGCCAGTGCTGTGGACCGTTCTTATAATTGTCAATTTTTGTAAGCTTTTCATGTTTACGTTGATAGATAAGCAATTGTTCTTGTGGTAAAGATCATTTCGTTTCAATCCTTTATTTTTTTCTGATCAACGAAAATGTCTCTTGTGTCCGCCCACGCGCGTCTCGAAATCGTACCTCAGCAAACTTGTTATCCTTCAAAAACGCGCTCTTCGATTACTTTGCTCCCAGTTATCCTCATTCTTGTCCTGTTTTCATGAAAGCAAATATTTAACTCTAAGAATGATATATTTTATTGTAACCTGGCGAATTTGATGCTTGATATTTGTAAGCGACTAGCCCCTTCGCTGTTAGGAAATGTTTTCACTAGATCAAATGAAATTTTCAGATATAATACGAGGCACGCTACTAAAGGTAATAATTGAAAGAAGTAAAGATGGAAATTTTCAAATGTTCATTTTCAAGAACTAGAGCAAAAGTATGAAACCTAATTCCTCCTTACTGGAGAGACACTTCTAAATCCATTTTTAAGAGAAAAATTCGCGGATTTCAGTTGGATACTCTTTTGGATAGGGATGACTAGGTTGAAGTGGACACTTTAGTTCAAAGACAACACCCAGGCTCTTCAAAATAGATGTAAGGTATTTAATTAAGTTTAACAATCTCAGCTATGAACCTGATATATGGCCTCGCTCTCCTTGAGTTCTCCGTAGCTCAAGTAGATAGAGCGCCCGCCCGGTGTTTGGGAGGTCATAGGTTCGAATCGTGTCGGGGACTCAGATTTTTTCTTTGTTCCACGCTCGTGATATGATGATTATTTCATTTTCACAATTCTCAGCTAATAATTTAGACCGCGCAGGTATCAAGTTTTGTTCTCTTTGCCATATTATTATGGCTAGTTTTTCAGTCTTTTCGTTTTTGACTAGTCCACTTTACCACCCGCCTCGATTAGCAAGTAGAGTGCTCGGCTTGCTCTGCGCTTCGCTCATCGATTTTTATTTTTCGCTTTTCCCCCACTGTGGAGCCTGGTCCCAGGCAAGATGGGAGGCAGCGTGGCCGAGTGGTCAGCGCGTCGGACTCGCAATCTCGCGGTGCCGGGCTCGAGTCCTCCTGTGGCCACTTGCTGGATTTGCTCTCTGTCGTTCCGAATTCAGATTCTCGGCCACGCTTGTAAATAGTCAACTGGTTGCTGCCTCCTGCCGGTTGGGGTTTTTACTCCTGTTATGTTCTGTTTGGATCCGGATTATTTGTTTCTAATTACCGTATTTATTCGAATAAGCGCCCAACCTCGAATTAGCGCCCACCTGGAATAAGCGCCCATCCTTAAGGCAGGAAAAGTTAATAAGCGCCCAGCCTCGAATAAGCGCCCAGCCTCGAATAAGCGCCCACCCCCTCCTCCTCCCAAACAAACTCAAAAAAGCGCTCACCCCAACCCCACCCACTTGAGTGAATAAATTCTAATAAGAGACTTCCCGGAGGACGGAGTTTTCTTCTGAGTATTATACAGAAACCTTTCTTTGTTACTTCTCCACGTTTTGTTATTAGCATTTATTGTTTTGTTGCAAAATAAACATACTTCACTTGCTGAAAATAGTGAAAATTTAATTAGCGCCCAGCCTCGAATAAGCGCCCACCTTGAATAAGCGCCCACTCTCAAGGTCCAAAAATTTAATAAGCGCCCAGGGCGGTTAATCGAATAAATACGGTATCTGAGTGGAGTGCCTGTAAACTAGCTGGATAAGCTAAGTGCACTTTTCATTGAAACTTTAAGTCCAGTTCTGGCCCCTCTCTCTCTGTCACGCAACGCCGGGGACAATTGTTTGCGCATGTCAGCATGCGCAGTAGTTTTAGCTACTTTTCTAGCTAATTGCCACTGCGCATGAGTGTATCTAGAAAACCACAGTGCTTCAACATGGCGGTTCATTGTCACTCGTTAGTGAATGAAAAGTACGGAGAAATGTTTCCTGAATATGGTAGGGGTTTTATCGGTGCATTAAGTTCGGCCATTTCATTTTGTGGACTGAAGTTTCTTCTTAAAAAGGAACAAATTCACGCTGTCCACGATTGTCTGAAGGGAACAGACGTGGTTGTAAATTTGCCCACTGGCTATGGTAAAAGTCTGTGTTACGCGTTGTGTCCTCTTAGTACCGATAATTTTCGCGGTGTCACGAGAAAGAAGCAAAGGAGCATTCTCGTTTTACACCTGTCTTTGTTTCCGTTGCCAACTTTCGTCGGAGTTTATTCTGCCATCGCATCACGATAATTACGGTCTGCTTCACCGCTTCTAAAACTTCGCGCCAGTTTTTCATACGCGACATGGAGCGTAACATGTCTGCTGTGATTGGTTTATTTAGGACATGCGCAAACAATTGTCCCTGGACCCTCTCTCCCGGCGTTGCGTGACAGAGAGAGAGGGGCCAGAACTGGACTATAGAGTGTTGGGTATATCATCAGGGAAACGTGCTTCAAATAATAGACAGATTGTGAAAATTATTTACCAATTTAACTTGTGAAAGATGGACCAGAAAAACCAGAAGTTGCTGGAAATACGAAATGGGTCTGTAAGAAAACAAAAGGAAATGAAAGATAATTACAGAGAAGAGGTGAGTATAATGGAGAAACTACCTTAGTCAAAATATGCAGAAGATTACCAAACATATCATATCGGACTCGATCATTCAAGTGTTACTTCCAAGGTCAAAGATTGCGCACTGCTACCAAGTGGTATTACTCCAACATACTTGTTGGAAACCTCAAGAAAATTAAAAATAATATACAGATTTAGCCAGGACTAAAAGTAAAGCTCTCGATAATATTTATAGTTTGTTCAAACAAAATATGAAATCGTGAAATGCTAAGCGGCGGAGGCAACGCCGGAGAACGGTGAAAAACAACAATAGGTCTAATTAGCAAAAAAGCAACTTTGCACGTGCCGCACACTTTTTAGTACATTTCTTTGCCGTTGTCTTGCACGACTTCAACGTGAAACTTCCAGAAACTTCTTAGGACCTGTTTACATGGAGGTGGGGGACCCCAGGTAAGTGAAGTAACTCGCTTAGGTGGGGTAACCCGCCAAGGCGGGTAGCCCGGTCTACCAGACCGGGTTACCCTCTCAGCCGGGGTCAGATTTTGCCATGTAAACTTTTCAAGGTGGGGTAACCCGCCTGAGCGGGGTCGGATTCGTGATGCATCAAATTCGTGCAAAATTTATTTTGGCGGTGGCTTTGCATCATTATTAAAGTTAACAATAGAAAGCCATTGCACTGAAGGTTGCAGCAAGAGCAACAAGTGAGTGTAGAAGTGCATTAATCGCCAAAACACGTGGTTTCCCAGCATTTTTCTTGTTTACGTGCTTAGCGACCATTCAATAATCTGGAGAAAGTGCACCCCGGGACGGCGGGGCTGTAACATTGCATGTAAAGCAGGTTATCTCACCTAACTGGGGTCTCCCACCTCGATGTAAACAGGCCCTTAGTTACACGTTTTATGGAGGAAATGTCGTATGTGTTCTCGTTCACTTTTTTTTCACTGCCGCTCATTTTCACCTTGCATCGGTGGCGGCTAGCATTTCTCATTTTGTCACCGCCGCTATTAAATTTTCATGTTGTTCTTCCGACGAAAAAATGTCTCCTTTGTTTTTTATCTCTCGATCTAGATCTCTGTCGCCCTTTTTCTCGTTGAGTTTCGCTGACCTACCGCCCACTTTCTCTTTTTCACTGTCTTTCTCGTGCTCTATATTCCAAATTTGTGGACATGACGATTAATCTAAGCGTAATACTTTAGAAAACACGGATACAGAGACAATTTCCGCTTTCCGTTTTCGTCTTTGTTGACTTTTTAGTTGTCTCTGCTTCACAAGACGCAATAGGCTATGCGATTTCCCGTCAAAATAACCTCGAGTTGCATTTGGGTTGCCATACCTGTTGATTGAGTTATTTTACATTGGTAAGCCTGTGGTGCGGACGGACGGTCGGGTGGGCGTACGGTCACGTGATTACCAAATTTTCCCGGATGGGTAGTTTACCACATTTTCTTACCCATGGTGCTCCGCTTCGCGCGAGCATTTTGAGAGCTCCGCTAATAAAATTAAAAAGGCCCAATAAAATTTTTATGTTCACCAAAATACTGTCCGTAAAAAAGTTAAATAAGACTTGCTCATGTGAGATTTGCAGTATATTCAGGTCTAAGGGCGCTTTCCATTTGTCAGAACTGACCGGCCAAGCCATTCCCGTTGCTTTGAAAATGCTGCAAATCCCACATGGGCCATCCACTTTGGTCTAATTCATCTCTTTTCTTTTGTTTGGTTTATTTTTTCTCCGGATTCCAGTAGCTGCTCTGTCGGTTATATTTCCGATAAAAAGGCAGTAAGTATCGCTGGTTTTCACATAACGTTACCAAAATTGAAACTGCAGAATGATCAATCCTCCTGAGTTTTTACATTCATTAAGTATTAGAGCAGCTAAAGACTGTTACTTACTCAAATTTTAACTTGAAAAGGGTTCTCCGTTTTGTGATATAGTCCGCTTTTGGGTGGGACTCGGCATTTACATGGCGGCCGAGAGAGCTGTCATGTGGATAAAAAGTGATTTACTTTGGGGGGTTTTGCTGTATGAACAGTCGTGGTTGAGGTGCTATCATTAGATAATATTTTAATTTAATGTTTATGAGTTCCTCGAGAGCTGAATTCACGCTTTCGTGGCAAAACTGAGTAACAGATGTTTCTCTTGGTTTCCGGCCGCGCCACTTGGTGTGCGCATCCGCATGGGCATGAATATGGCGGGCGCTTTCCATTTAGGAAAAAAACGGGAAATTTTGGTGGCAGCAAAAGTGGAATTTCCGATTGGCAAAAAGTTGTTCCATTTGGTCGTAAACCCCGGTACGTTGCGGTGCCCGACCGTGGACCTGGAACTGGTACAAACTACGAGAAACATGTAAATGGAACTCGAAATTCCGTTCGGAAATTCCAACCGGGAAAACGGGCTCACCTTTTAAGATTTTCCACTTTTTCTGGGAATTTTCCAGTGGGACGAACCGACGAAACGTGTTCCATTTACCGCCGAACGGGAAATTCCGGAAATTTTGACTAAATGAAAAGCGCCCGGCGTCTCCATACAAAGTTCCATAACTGGGTGAATCATTTCTCCCGAATATCTTGAATATGAAAAATTGTACTGACCTGAATCGTTGCGAGGGCCTTTGCATATTGACCTCCTTTCATTTCCTAGATTCTGGGCTTTATCTATTGAATGATTTTTATCTTTTCGAGTCTTTAGTTTTGAAGCCGTGACCGAGAAAACCAGCAATTCGTATAAAGGCAACGGGCTAATGAACAAGCCTCGTTTGAATGCATGTCATTGCTTTGAGTTTAAGCAAATTTGTTACAACGAAAAACGCCGAAAAGGGTTAGCAAAAGAAACATTTCTGGGATGTTATTTTGTCGCAAGAAAAAAGCCAATCAGGCGTGAGAAAACTAAACCGCAAGCGCCAACAGTAATAAGTTTTGGTTTTCTGACTTGCTCGCATGTCCTGAGCTTTGCTGTGAATGGTCACGAGACAATAAACATTCCTGAAATATTTCAGATGTTCCGACGTAGACAGTAATTATCTTTGAGCCAAACGAAGATAATATATTAACCCTACCCCGATAAGAAGTTCAGCGTCGCAGGGACTCGCTAGAGCAGCCTCAAACAGGGTTCTTTCTAAAGGAAGGAAGACAGAACCCTGGGAAAGAGGTTAATTGTATGATATTTGTTTCATAGAAAACTTGCAGGAAGGCGACATACGCAGCTGGCAGCGTGAGCACTAATAAAAAAAATGACAGCTTTGGGGACAAATCGGGGAAAAGAAAGGCGTATAGCATTCTTGGAAGCACCCACGATTTTCTAGAAGATTTTAAAACAGCCATTGAATACAAAGAACGTCACCTGAAGTTTGCGAAAGAACGGGGTGACAGAATGGAAGAAGGGAAGGCGTTTTGCAATCTTGGCATCGCCCATTACACGCTAGAAAATTTTAAAACAGCCATAGACTGCCATGAACGTCACCTGAAAATTGCGAAAGAAATGGGTGACAGATCGGGAGAAGGAAAGGCGTATCTCAATCTAGGCAATAACCATTTCGGATTGGGGAATTTTAAAACAGCCATCGACTACTTTGAACGTTGCCTGCAAATTGCAAAAGAATTGGGAGACAGATCGGGAGAAGGAGCGGCGTATTGCAATCTTGGCTCCGCCCTTGACAGTCTGGGAGATTTCAAAACAGCCATAGACTACCGTGAACTTCACCTGAAAATTGCGAAAGAATTGAGTGACAGATCGGGAGAAGGAAAGGCGTATAGAAATCTTGGCATCGCCCATTTTAGTCTGGGAGACTATAAAACGGCCATTCACTACCATGAACGTGGTCTAAAAATTGCAAAAGAATTGGGTGACAGATTGGGAGAAAAAATGGCGTATACCAATCTTGGGATCGTCCATCACAATCTGGCAGACTATAAAACAGCCATTGACTACCACGAGCGTAGTCTAAAAATTGCGAAAGAATTGGGTATCAAATCAGCAGAAGAAAAAGCGTATTGCAATCTTGGTATTGCCCACAACGCTCTGGGAGATTGTAAAACAGCCAAATACTGTTATGAGCGCAGCCTGACAATTGCGAAAAAATTGGGTGACAGATCAGCAGAAGAAAGGGTGTATAACAATCTTGGCGTCGCGCATTGCAATTCGGGAGAATATGAAACAGCCATTGACTACCACGAAAGTGGTCTAAAAATTGCGAAAGCATTGGGTAACAGATCAGCAGAGGCAGTAGCGTATAGCGGTCTTGGCACTGCCTATTACCGTAGGAGAGAATTTAAAACAGCGATAGATTACAATAAACTTTACCTAGAAACTGCGAAACAAATTGGTGACAGATCGAGAGAAGGAAGCGCCTGTGGTAACCTTGGCCTCGCATATCACAGCCTGGGGAATTTTAAAACAGCCATATACTACTGTGAACGTAGCCTGAAAATTGCGAAAGAATTAGGTAACACATTGACAGAGGGATTAGCGTATTCCAATCTTGGTGAATACTATGAACATCTCGGTCAAGTTCCAGTGGCTGTTAGATATTACCAGCTTGGTATAACTGTGTTGAATAATATTAGAGATCGTCTTCAATTGAACGACGAGTGGAAAGTTAGCTTACGTGATCAATACAAGGCAGTATACTCTGCACTTTGGCGCTTGAGGTTAGAAGAAGGCAAGGTTACGGAGGCCTTGTTTTCTGCCGAGCAAGGAAGAGCACAGGGTTTGAAAGACCTTATGGCATTTAATTATGGATTTGAAGTGAATGACGCTGAACCAGGTAAAGAAAAAGGTACTTTTCATGAAATTTCCAGCCGCATTCCTCTTAATACGATATTCATGGCGTTTGGAAAGAACGAATTGATGTTTTGGGTTCAGAAAGGAGAAGAATTCCAATTAAGAAGAAAGAAAAGCAGTCAGCAGGATGAAATTAGCACTTTCTTTGAAAGCCTTATGGAGGTAATGCGTCAGGAAATTGGTACACTTGATTATATGAAGTGTGAAGATCGATCGCTAAAACAGGTGAATAATCAGGGACCGGAAGTTAAAAGATCAACTCCTCAAGACAGACAAACCCAGCACTTACAACTTCAAAAGAGTGCATTAAATACCTTGTACGACATTATCATCGAACCTATCCAAGATCTTGTTGTCGGAAGAGAACTTATTTTCGTCCCAGAAGGTCTCCTTTGCTTGGCTCCTTTCGCTGCATTCAAGGATCCAAACTCCAGATACCTCTGTGAATCATTCAGAATTCGCGTGGCTCCATCTCTCAGCAGCTTGAAAATGATTGCAGATTGTCCGTTAGATTACCACTGTAAGTCTGGCGTGCTTCTTGTGGGTGATCCGTGGGTGCAAGATGTGACAGAGCTGGAGCAGTTGCCGTATGCCAGAGAGGAAGTTGAGATAATTGGTAAAATGCTTGGTTGTGCACCTCTTATTGGAAGACAAGCCACAAAGGATGCGGTATTAAGACGAATCGGTTCGGTTGCTTTGGTTCACATCGCTGCACATGGCAGCATGGAAACGGGTGAAATTGCCCTGGCGCCAGATAATGGTGAGATGGATTTCATTTTGACGATGAAAGATGTAAAGCGCGTTCAGATTCGTGCAAGACTGGTTGTACTCAGTTGTTGTCATAGTGCTCATGGTGAGATCAAAGCAGAAGGCGTGGTTGGCATAGCACGAGCGTTTTTAGGTGCCGGTGCTCGTTCTGTTCTGGTGTCGTTGTGGGCGATTGACGACAAGGCCACTCTTGAGTTTATGAAAAATTTCTATCAACATCTTGTGAAAGGAAAAAGTGCAAGTGAAGCCTTAAACCAAGCAATGAACTGCATGAGAGAATCTGAGGAGTTTGGCTCAGTCAAATACTGGGCACCGTTTGTGCTTGTTGGTGATGACGTCACATTAGAATTCGCTGGATGCGAGCAGAATGTGTCAAGGTAACTGACTACCTTTGAAAATGCCTGAAGACCGTTCGCGAACTTTTGAGGTCTTGACGGCAGAGGATTTTGCTACTCCTAATGCCAAGATAGTTTTGTACTATCAATGATTTGCAAACCTTGCACTGGCACAAACCTTAATGTATTACGCTATCAAAATAACCATCAGGAAATATTTTCTATCGTTTCTCTAATTTAATACAAAATACGCTTAACTCAGTCTCTGTATCCTTGAAGCCTGGCCCCGCTTGTTCAAATGTTGGATAGCGCTATCTAGGCACCGGAAAAACCACGGGCCAGCGAATAAGTATTAGAAAAGCCAATTGCGCCATGCACTAGATAGAAATTCATCTAGTGGATAACATTATCCACCTTTTGAACAGCTTGGGGCCTGGGGCCCGTTCGTCGAAAGTCCTGGTAATTTACTGGCCCGCTAACTTATCGGGACCTTTCGAGAAACGGGCCCCTGGTTCCGGCTCACTAGCGAGGCAAGCATAAGCATTAGCCTGAGCATAAGGAGCTTATGTGCCTGTAAGGACGGCTTGACAAAAATAGTTAATTTAGTGCGCCCTATACTACTTCGTCAGGCTTACCAGTGGGGAAGGGATGTTTTCGTTTAACTCTCTCTCCTTCCACCCTCTAAGTCGTTAAGGCTTGCTCGTAGACAACACGCCGTTCGTGCTCAGAGAGGTTTCGAAATGTACAAATACGTGTCTTAGTTTTATTTTACATCAATTTGTGTCCAGTTGTATTTGAGTTGTTTGTATTTACAAGTTGTTTATGTATTTTGCAACTATATTTATCAAAAGCCAATCTCTTTCCCAGCCAGAGTCCGCCTTACCCATGGACAGCGAAACGGGCCACGGGGATCTCTGAGATAATCCATTTTTAGCGTCTGTATTATCTCTGTCCAGTAATACAGCCAGGTCCAGAGGGTGGAAAAGAGATTGATCAAAAGCGCGATTCGTAGGAAAGCGCTGTTAAGTCGCCAGTCACCTTCAATGTAAGACAAGACTTATTTCAAACACCTTTTTCTGCTTTGGAAATTTCAGTGTGGAGAAGACTCTGCTTTCAACGAGAACTATTAGAATAATGATCCGGGTTTTAGTTTTCTACTGTAGAGGATATAGGTTTTACAGGCTAAAAATGTATAGTGAACATTTTTTCTTACTCAAATAATGTTTAAGACTGCCACGTGTGGTTAGATGTACCAATTACATCAATTGTTGAGTCCGTATCTCTTTAAAACCACCGTATACGTTTTAGCAAGATAGAAAACGAAATTCAAACGAATAAGAAAACTAAACACTACTTTAAAAGCACCCGAGGCGCGGAACCTTAAGCAGAAGTGACCAGAGCTTTACCGCTAAGCCACCAAAAAAGGTTTGTCAATCAGGTCAGAAATACTCAAGGTTTCATCATGTTATATTCCCTCGTTTTGAAGACAACAAAGAAATTTAGAATCAAGTTTACGGCAAACGGCGAAAGTCAGGTTCAAGTTAGGAAATGAGCAGATGAAAACTATTCATGAAATAATTCTTGTTGATGAAACCTGTGTGAAAAAACTACTAATTTCTGTTAAGATTTATTATACAGTAAACGATAAGAAAAGGGAAAACTTGGTCAACTGGTACAAATGCACGTTTGGCGTTTGCAGTAATCGTGATTCTAAATCTCTGTAATGTTGAACCAGTACAAGTCTTTAGTCAGGACAGGATGGGGTGAAGGGATACGAACAGACCCGGGGAGCCCAGACACGGAGTAGTTTGCTTCAATCGGTCTCACGAATCGGAGGGCTGGCTCAGAGACAAAGGTGAAACTCGAAGCATTCATTAAGTATTTCATTTTTGTCTTCTCTAATTCCCCAAGATTGTGACCCGAGTTCTCTGTTAAAAAGCGTCCTTTTTTTAATTTCATATATAACAATGTAGTTACAACAGTCTATAACTTAATTCACTGGCGCTGTAGCATCATACTGTAACATCGATGATTGCCACACGGTGAACTTTCTCACTGATAATGCGTTAAGTTATAAAAAGGATTTTATCGACGTCAACGGATTGAGCGTGCGCTATGACTGGGAAGGGGTAGTTACGTAAAGGTTTGACGCAAAGTGTTCCTTGAGATATTCTCCCCCTTTCTCGTCATACTCTTCCCTAGTAACACTGACTGGTCGTAGGTTGTTGCTGAGAGTCCTTGCCCATTTACGAGCACCGTACCATGCATCGAGAACCGGGTTACCTGGATAAACGTGAGTAAAAAGGTTAGAAGAATTTTCAAAACGATAAAAGAACAACAATAACGTCAACAGNTCTGTTAAAAAGCGTCCTTTTTTTAATTTCATATATAACAATGTAGTTACAACAGTCTATAACTTAATTCACTGGCGCTGTAGCATCATACTGTAACATCGATGATTGCCACACGGTGAACTTTCTCACTGATAATGCGTTAAGTTATAAAAAGGATTTTATCGACGTCAACGGATTGAGCGTGCGCTATGACTGGGAAGGGGTAGTTACGTAAAGGTTTGACGCAAAGTGTTCCTTGAGATATTCTCCCCCTTTCTCGTCATACTCTTCCCTAGTAACACTGACTGGTCGTAGGTTGTTGCTGAGAGTCCTTGCCCATTTACGAGCACCGTACCATGCATCGAGAACCGGGTTACCTGGATAAACGTGAGTAAAAAGGTTAGAAGAATTTTCAAAACGATAAAAGAACAACAATAACGTCAACAGCTTTATTGAAATAATACGGTAGCCTGAGCACAGACGTCCCTTGTCAGCAAAAGGCATGAGCTGTCGAAGACCTCAATAGTACATTCTCACTCACACGATTTGGATCCTTTGAGTCTCAAATGGTGGGATCACGTGACAGGGTTATGGAGAATCTGTGTCTGCAGACAAAAAATAACTTTGAAAGTTCCCCTTTTCAATTAATATCTTTTATAAGACTGAAGCGTTTTAAGGTGCATTTACCTAACGTTTCCTGTGTCAAATCTATTCTACCATTGTGTTGACAGGGGAGCAAAATATTCAACGAACCTGCCGTGAAAACTTTAAATGTAGATTGGAACGGTCGGATAGCAAGGAGCTCTCTCTCTAACCGTTCTTGAAAGTTTGGGAATTGTGTATTTCCTCCTGTTACAAACACATTCTAGAAGAAAAAACAGAAAGGAAAATACATGCGAGTATAGATTGTAGCATCGAATCACACCTGTTATCTCTAAGAAAAGAAGAGATATATAGAGCAGGCACCAGTACACGACGCTAATGACTCCTACTTTCTTGGCAGCACTTTAAATCTAGTAACACTCGCGCCGGAAGTAAACGAGTTCCGTCACGGAAGTGCTTTTACGCGGCCGTTTGCGCTCGAAGCCGACTCCTCTGCGTACTTTGTGATTAGAATGGATACTCCAAAATCCGGTGGGACACCTCATGCCAATTCCACAACATAATATTCATTACAAAGAACTGCATTAATTGGCCACACATTTTGAGATATTTGAAAGGATCAAATAGCATCAGTTGTGTAAGGAAAGGAGTTCAGTGTGGAATTCAGCACCTATCTACAGTGATGAGGATTACGCGTTGATTTGACCGTTAAGTGTGAAATATTGTAATGGGCAACGTACGCCATATATATATGTGATAAAAATAAGCCGTTTCAATGGAAAACCTAATTTGGAGTATCCATTCTGGTGCTTCATTCTCTCTAGGATCGCATGTTTAAGATCGTCTTCATTTGGAGTGACGACAGTTAACTAATTATCGTAAAATAGCACCTTTCAATTGAATATCGGAAGTCAAAAGCAATGCCTAAAACTGTTAAACGAACGATCTAAACTCAAAAGGGAGTGATGACGTCTAAGCTGGATAGGCAATGTTTAAAACTAGTAACATTAAACAGTTAAAAATTTCGTTATTCCACTCGTACCTGCACTAATGCTGTTTGTAAATCGGCCGAAAAATGGTTAAGTATAAAATCAATAGTTTCTGCAATACCGGCTTGTTCAATACCAAGCATGGAAGGTTGATATACGATCTCAGGAACTCTGGGAAAAATAATGAGACAAAAAAACATAAGACAAAAACAATAAGTAAACAGTTTGTCCTGCGTCAGTGGGGGAGTGAGACAAATTTTCTTACGACACGAAAATCCGCGGTCCAGCAAGGCAACCAGGAATTTATCTTTTCAACGAGGCACCCAAATCACCACGGAATCAATGAACGCCTTTAACACAGGGTATTTCAGTATGCCTGTTTTTCATGTTAACATGTTGCCACCAAAAGCGTGGTCCATGATCTGATATGCTAACCTCACACAACCCACAATCCCTTTACTAGCTCTGACGAAGGCTAGGCCTCGAAACGTCAGCTTTGGAATCCTTTACGGTAGACCATTTACTTTTGTAACTCAGGGGGATTTGACGACATAGGGGCACTTGACCGCTTATTCTGACCACAAAAACCGAAACATTTCAAAGCCAATTTCGACCCAGGGGCCGAATTGACAGGTACTTTAACAGGAGATAGAACTGAACGGGCAAGGTGCTTCGAGCGTTTTTGCCAGTACTTTAATTCTAGGCTTTCGTTTATTGGCAAAATGACATTAACAGGACTGGTACCAAGGGTAATATTTAATGTTGTTTCCCGAAATACTCAAGGTTTCTCGAGGCGGAGCTGAGGAACTATTCCACTCGCGCTGTACGAGAGACAACCACAACTAGTTACCTTATTCTCTCAACACCAAGATGGAGCTGATAATATTCCGCCCAGTCAACAGCAGATTCTGGTTTGCCACCAAAACGTCTACAACAGCAAAGACACACGAAAATAATAATAATAAAAATATTTAAAGAAAATAGCCGAATCGGACTACACATGAAACTACTTACCGCAAAATTCTGAAAATAAGCCGTTCCACGTATAAGCCCCTCCAAATATAAGCCCCCAAAACTCGTAACGCAAAAAGCCCTCCGTTAAATCGCCCCTCCAAATATAA